GATGCGGGAAGGGGGAAAAAATGGCAAAATGTAGAAGCGCCAAACAAGCGAAACAAAAAGATTTTAAAAAGAGAGAAAGAGAGTGAGAGTGTAAGAAAGTAAGAGAGTAAGAGAGTAAGAGAGTAAGAGAGAGAGAGAGAGAAAGAGAGAGAGTAAGAGAGAGAGAGAGGAATTTTTATATTTGTTTATAGGTGTGTGAGAACGCTGCACTTTTCGAGCAAGTTGTTAGTGAATTCCCTCCATATTGCTATTATACATAAAAAGAGGATGTTGTAAGAAGGAAATGTCGATTTCTGTCCGCGAAAACTCGAGGAAACCTCTCCGTAACACACGTAATAAGAGTTATAAACGCTATTTTAAATAACGCTAAGTACAACGCTACAAGACAAAGGTTTCGCCTATAATGAATTAATTGAAGGATGCGCAACTACACTTTATTCTCATGAATTATTAATATGATTATTATTATAATTATTATTCGAATTATTAGTGTTCTTGTCACACACGTTTGTGGTTAACAACGTCGACGTACTTAATAATATTAATGGAGGAAAAAGGGGGAAATGATGCAACGCGCGAGGTATTTGTATATTCGATGAACATTCTAGGGGTTCGCCCGACGGTCTCCGTATCGAAGCCAACCGTCCCCGTTGTTCGATGTTGTTCGTCGCGTCGCGAATGGAATCGGGCGGGCGGACAGGAACGAACAGCGGGGGAGAACACTCGGAACGGATGGATAGTTGGTTCGCTCGGACACGGGGCTGCCCGTAGAGCGTACTCGCGATGTAAATTAATCGAGCGCGTACGACGTTTCGAGGCGTAATCACGGCCGGATGAGAGGGACGAGCGCATTCATGCCGGAATAACACTTACTCGGACGCTTAGTCGTTAGATTCGTAACTCGTTCAGTATTTAACAGCGGCGAGGGGAAGAAGGGGACCGCGACCGCATGGATTCTCCCTGTCGCGAGGTCATTTTTTCCAATCGATCGATTAAAAAAAATGAGAAATAAAACAGTCAATACAACACGCGAGATCACTGGTAGAAAATCAGAGCGAGGAGCACACATGCAGAGAAGCGGAGGAAAAAAAAAGAAGGAGAACAAGTAAAGAGAAAAATAACCGAGAAAACATGTAGCGAAAGAAAACGAAGGGTGAAAAAAAAAGTGGAAATAAATAAGTCGTAGTGCTGCGAAATCGTAAAACGAGATCATCGAGTTCATCTGCGTCAAAAGTAGCGTTTTATAATCGTGAGCCCGTTTCTTAATGATAAGCGATACGATAAACACATATTGTACAGCATTCGTAATGCTAAACACACACGTACACGTACACGTACACACACGCAGAGAGAGAGAGAGACATACACACGGTGGACACGTTGCACACGAGCCATCCGCTCTGGATTAAGCTTAAGCCCATCCGGTTTCGCGAATGATTACCGATCACACTGCAGTTCCATTTATTCAAGACTGAACATCGTTCCGGCGGCATTCCGCTCTTCTAATTCACCAACTCGCGTCACACGTTGATCGTAATTATCCAGCCGAGCGTTTAGTATTCAAATTTCGAATAAAAAAAAACGACAAAAAAATGAGAGAGAGAGAGAGAGAGAGAGAGTGCAGAGGTATATAGAGGAAATTCGTGATCGCGAAGGGGGACGACGGGCGTCAAGGAGCGTAATAAAATATGGCCTAATTTTTTTCACGATTTAAGGCAACACGTAGATGGGAAAAAAACACGTAGAACGACAGAACGCGAACGAAAGAGGATCGATGTTCGATCGACGAACAAATGACTGCAAACCAATGGAAACCCTTTCTCTAAAGGAAACCTCGATGCTTGTCCAAATATGATGTTGTTCTTTTTTTTCTGATCGATAACGAACGAAAACCAATTGTGAACGATGCGAGAGCCAAATTCGTAACACCACGTCGATCACAGTCTCATCGTCGACGACACGGACGACGCAGGTTTATTCCCGGCAATTTTAAAGAGAGTACTATTAAGTAGAGGTACTTAAGTCGTTGCTACATACCAATATAAGCTCTATTGCTTATTTTATACTTAGTATTATCGTAACGTTTCGATTAGAGGTAACATATTGGGAAAGTTGTATCTTAGCATAAGGTAGGACTAATCTGTAAAGATAAGTAGTCAAATAAATGAAAGGTACATTTGATGTTGCAGACAGTTTCACTTTTACTTCTCGTCCGTTGATTCTCTCGTTCCTTCGTTCCTTAACCTACCTGCGTTGGTGTCAAAGTTCTACGACGAGTTGTCTCGTCTAATACGTTGAAAAGCATATTTCCTACCAGTTCACTCGTCACGCGCAATTAGAAAACTAATCGTTCTAATGTATTCTAATCAAACATGATTTTACATTTTGGCAAAGGGTTCAAAAATAAAAACAAACAGTTCTACGAGTTATCTCGTCTAACGCTCTGAAAAGCATTTTTTCTGCGAGTTCACTCGTCACGCGCAGTTAGAAGGCTAATAATTCTATTCTATTCCAATCAAACATTATCTTACACTTCATCGAAGGATTCAAGAATAAAAACAAACAGTTCTACATGGTACCGATTTATTTATTTCATCCACAATCACGAAGAGGCTACTGCGTGCCCGGCTATAAAGTACAGATACACATACTCGTTAGAAAATGCATACTATCACCGGCGCCGGCTGGTAATCCGTCTGATTCGCCTGCGGTTCGGTTAAATACGATTACGAATATCACTTTCATGATCAGAGTAGACTTGAAACGAGACCTGGTGTCTGTCGGCTGCTTGCGTCGTCGTATCCGCCCGCCGGGGAACCCCCGTTCCGGCCGGCGATCCATCGTCCCCTATGTACATTTAGAACTCGCTTCGTCGCAAACATCGCTTTGATATGTGTGCACGTACACAGACATTATTGTTCGTCGTTGATCGGCAACGGTGGTGTTGCGCGGCGCGATCGAAACGATACGAAGTCAACGCCACTCGCTGACGTACAAAAAACAACGCGTGAACATCGACGCTACGCACATTAAGAGTAACACGGGAACGGATACAAAACCTGACAGATTGAAATGAAACGGCACATCGATAAGTATGGGACAGAGTTTCTCACGATCCTACGTACACCGAGTGTCTCCGCTAACCGAAACTAGCCTCCCCTGGCTTCTCTGTATTCGAAAAACAATCGCGGACCACGCTTCGATCCCTCGCCACCGTGCTCTAGTATCACACGCCGCGACGCTAAATATTCTCAAGGCATTTCCTGCGTGTAGAAAAACGTTCCTATATCTCGGATCGAAGATGGAATCCACTGGGTGAACCGGTTCGATCGCTGGAACCTGCTTTCTCCGAAATCGCAGCGAATATCGACTCGATTTCCTATAATTTCTCTTCAATTTACGGTTATCGAGGATTCATCCGGCGTACAGTTTTCCACTCGGAATGGAACTATAATCGATCGATCGATCGGCGATCACAGGGAAACGACGAGTTGCCTCGGATATTTTTACCGAACTACCGATCTCTCCAACCCGAATCGATTCCACGTTGAATCCGACTCTTATAGTGGTCTCATTGAAACGGTTGCTACAATAGTAAGACGATGCACCGATTCGTCACACGAAAGTTACAGGAGTAAGCTCAGTCTGTAGGTAGAATGTTCTGCTTGTACGAAAAATACTGTTATTTTATCTTTCACTTGTTCTCCCATGCTGCGACTCGTGGGCATCGCTGGAGCAATAGATGAGAAGTTACGCGGATCACGGAATTACAACCCTTGACACTGGCGTGGACCAAATTGACTGATGCTGTTTGGTACGAGGATACAGATACATATAACATATGCACGTATATACTTCTGAATTTCACTACTGGAAGCGTACAAATCACTGCGCTACGTTTTGTCTATCCTATGCTACTGCTACTTGCACCTTGGCACATTGTCATCATTTCGCTACTTAGGTATTATCTATAATCTATCTATTGATACAGGCTGGATACAATTTCAAACCAGGTTTATTCTTTCTCGATTGTTCGGTCGATTCAGTCGTTGCTCCGCAATAACTGAACCGTTCATTGTACTGTGATTCGAACGATTCGCCCCGTTCGAGTCGGTGGCGCATTCTCCTCTGACAATCGTCCACTTTTCGCCCTTCCTCTATCCACTGCCCAGAGACGCCCAGACGCGATGGATTCTATACAATCGATAATCTCGCGCTACAGGTTCGGGTCCTCGATTGCTCGCCAATCGACGCGAGATTCCGTCAACTACGTGGTCGATCGAGATACGTATGGTACAATTATGCCGGTTTACCTTATTCTCCCTTACTCCTATCGCACACCTATCGCCCTTAAACAAATTTATTTTACCACGCGAATGAATTGCATCGCACGATCTCTGTATCTATCGCGTCGATCCTCCACTGTTACGTCCGTAATCTATAAAACTTACGAATCTTCCTCTACTATATCTCCATTCTCCTCCCTCTAGTCCGTTTCTATTAGACGCCTTACAAATGGAGAAAAGCCTCGTAAAGGGTCCCATTCATGGGCAGCACTAGTGTACACGATCAGGTGTCATTCATGTTCTTCGAAAACTATAGTTCGCACGGTTTGACTTGCTGTCAAGAATTCGTGTCGCGTGAGAGACGTGTAACTTTAATCTATCGAAAATGTTTCTAAATCTTTAATATTCAATCAATTCACTAATTCACCAGATATTTAAATAGCATTAACGCAAGGAGAGAAATACGTTTGAATACAGAAACGAAATTGTTTCGATAAAAATATAAGGCGTAACTTTGTTATACAATGATATGTGATAAACATATTTGAAAATTCGAGTACTTCCCTCACGCGATTCGAACCCGTGAAATGTCCAATCTGCAACGATTCCCGGCGCCCATTTCATCCGCGATCGCCGCGAATCGTCCCAGCAGGGCTTTGCAAGATTACCTTTATGTGCGCGTTATCACAAACGGTGCCCTCCGACGAGCTGTATACTTAAACACGTATCGCGGTGAACAAGAACATTTGCGCGAGCGTGGCTGTGAAGCGTGAATTAGTAAACGTCTGTCCGTTGTTTCGATATCACGGTATCGTCGTTATTTGGTCTGCACAAATTCTCACCGGCACAGCGCTACCGTTAGAAATATTGCTATCACGAGTCTAGAGAAGGGTACGTCTGGGTTTTCGCGTGGCTTATTGTCGTCGGAACGTTCTCTTCGCGGTGTTATGCACAGATTGCTGAGTAACTGCTGTTCCGGAAGCGCGAAAGAAGAATCTGCTGCGGGATCTCGTCCTCGGAGGGACCACCATTGGAAGCAATTATCATACGTATGGTATACTATCAGTAATACGGTACGATATAGCAATTGATAGGCAACTACATATGTTTCACGTGTACTTCGTGTTCGAACATTAGAGTTTCACTGCGCTTGATACACAAGGTAGCCACTGGATTGCGTCTGCGCTGTTTCCAGATCGAGAATATTTCGGTCAATCTCCCTGCAATCTATGATGGAATATCATTTGTTCGATATTGTACGGCCTGTCGAATGGAAGTCTGTTCCCGAAATAATTTGAATGGGAAGTATGCCTGATCGATTTTTCGAAATTATTCCTTTGTTCTGGATACGCTAATCGTTTCGAAGGA